AAACCCACACAAAACGCGCGCAGTAAGAGCGACGTAAACGTCATGTTAACGTTGGCGGCGTCAGTCGCACAATGGACGAGGTCGAAGAGCCAATAGAACAGAAGCAGCATCGCACAGGTAAAATGCATTCGTGTCTTGGAAATTCTCCCAACGTGAAATATAAAAGAAAATAACAAATATAATATCGCCTACAACTTAAATGTCACTGGTGAAAACAACCTGCATAGACTCATGATGTCTGCACTACTGTCCTATAGTGACCTGCCACATGAGGGGACACGCACACAAACACACACACACAAACACACACAAACACACAATTCATCATCGTCATTAACCTGAGAACGCGCGGACCACGTTTCCTTCCGTAGTTACTGCGCGGACACCGACGTGCTCCCGTGAGCCGCGTGTGGATCGTGTTTTTCTCGCGTACGCTGCGTAAACCGCGCTTCCTCCTGTGCGCCTCTAAACCAGAACTAACACCAAGACTAAACAGGACTAATCCAGTCCAGGACTAAACCAGGTCTAAACCAGGACTAAACCAGAACTAAACCAGGTCTAAACCAGGTAAACCAGGACTAAACCAGGACTAAACAGACTAAACCAGAACTAAAACCAGAACTAAAACCAGAACTAAAAACCAGGTCTAAACCAGGACTAAACCAGAACTAACACCAGGACTAAAACCAGGATTAATCCATTCCAGGACTAAACTAGGACTAAAGTAGGACTAAAGCAGGTCTAAAACCAGGACTAAAACAAGGACTAAAACTCGTGATCTCATATATAAAGCATTTCTCTATCAATAATATTTTTAATATGGTTAAGGAAAGACTGGACTTTTTATTGTCTTTAAGTAGACAAAAAGTTATTATGTTCAGATTTCCTCGTCTTTGCTACTTTACAGCAAACAGTTTCTTATTCATGGAGACTTAGGCTCAACAGCCAATTTGGAGAGATTTGTTAAACAATAAATGACTTTATAAAGTCACTTTTTTTGTTCTATATCAGTCTTTTGATCTGCCACAATAATGTAATAATGAATTTAAATGAAAATACCTCAAATTGAAGGCTTTTCTCAGCAAATTTTTAGGTGAGATTAAAATGAGATTAATTAGATTAATTAATTACAGATCATAATTAATTAATCTCTAAAATTGTTTTAATCGCATGACAGCACTAGTTATTATTAATAATTGTATTTGTATTATTTGTATTTATTTTATTTATTATTTCCATGGTACTAACTGTTGACACATACTATTTAGATCACCATGTTCCCTTTGATTGTTTTGGATTATCCTTGCTCTCCACACCAAGTCACTCCCCCTTCAGAGCACTATCACAACACAATCAGTGTGCGTCCTGCTAATGAAACTACTGCACATCGCATCAGGTTTGTCAAGTCATGTACGGTTTTGTATTGTGTTTTTGTATATTTCTGGAGAATTGTCCCGTGGGAGCATGGGTGACGTAGGTTTGTGGGCGGAGCCTCGTACAGAACCTTACAGTTAACCATAAAAAGGTTTGAAGAGGGCCTGGGAGAGATTGGAAAATTACTGAAACATGCATAGATGACATATAAAGCTCCACAGACATGTTTGTGATGATGGAACAACATTATAACATGGTAGAAAGCTCCAAAAGTTTAAATACCAAAAATAAGAAAACTCACGGATTGAAGCAAATAAACTGTATTCTAAAAAACACGGAAGCCACCATGCCGCCTCTGCATCCTCCCCTGGTGTATTGAGGTCCGTGGTACAGACCCTAAACACAAATATTCTTCCTCATTTTTGTCTCGGTCGGAATTCCCAGTGGCGGCTGTGACACTAGCAGCTCATTCACCTAAACCAGGACTAATGAGAGACAGCTAAGGCCACGGACAGACAGCCATTCCAACACAACACTACAAATATGTGCTCCAAAAACACAAAACACTGAAAAATGTGCTCTGAAAACCAGGGCGTCTCAACCTGTGGTACAGAGGCTTTTCCTGGCACTGGTAGAATAGAGCTGTGCTGTTAAACAAATCCACTTTTTGCAGCTTAATACCATCTTATAATGTTGTTCCATCATCAAAAACACGCCGGAAGAGGTTTGTCACTCACCCATGCATGATCTGCTTTAGTCCAGGTTTGGTCCAGGTTTGGTCCAGGTTTAAGTCTTAGGTTTAGACTTAGGTTTAGACTTAGGTTTAGACTTAGGTTTAGACTTAGGTTTGGTCCTGGTTTAAGAACTGTTTAGTCTAAAGAGATTCTCCAGATTCTGAATTTACACTGGTATAGTCCTGCTTTGGAACTGGTTTATTCCTAGGTTTAGTTCAGGTATAGTCCAGGTTTAGTCCAGGTTTAGTCCTAAATTCAGTCAAGGTTTGGTCCAGGTTTAGTCCTAGGTTTAGTCCTAGGTTTAGTCCAGGTTTAGTCCAGGTTTAGCCTAGGTTTAGCGTAGGTTTAGTCCTAGGTTTAGTCCTAGGTTTAGTCCTAGGTTTAGTCCCAGGTTTAGTCCAGGTTAGTCCAGGTTTAGTCCTAGGTTTAGTCCTAGGTTTAGTCCAGTTTTAGTCCAGTTTAGTCCAGTTTAGTCCAGGTTTAGTCCTAGTTCAGTCAGGTTTGGTCCAGGTTTAGACCTAGGTTTAGTCCTAGTTTAGTCCAGGTTTAGTCCAGTTTAGTCCTAGGTTTAGTCCTAGGTTTAGTCCTAGGTTTAGTCCCAGGTTTAGTCCAGGTTTAGTCCCAGGTTTAGTCCCAGGTTTAGTCCAGGTTTAACCCTGGTTTAACCCTGGTTTAGTTCTGGTTTATTTCTGGTTTGGTCCAGGTTTAAGAATTGTTTAGTCTAAAGAGATTCTCCCTAGTATTCCTGGTTTAGAACTGGTTTAGTTCCTGAGTGTCCTTGTCCAGTCTTTGAGGTGGCACTTTGTGTGAAAAGTTTGTGAATTCACGGCGTTAAACCAGAATTGATTGTCCAATTACACTGGTGTATACAGAGGATTAATACAGATGACTAACCCCGGGCAAAGCCGACAGACAGCCTCAGATTAACCACACACATTTTTCAAAACACAACGATCCATTATGGACGTGGGCGCTTTATTTTACAATCTGTTTTTCAATGATTTTTGTCTCCAGTGCCACTTATAGGAAACTCATACGGGCAGTATTTAATACACTTGTAATACAATTAGACGCTTTATACACGATTAAGGACCAGGTTTGTTTTGGATGGCAAAGTAGTTTAGTTCATAAAAGAATGAAAAAGTTGAACGCTGAAAATCCAAACTGCTCATATTTGTCCAAACTCCTGTTAATATTTCTACTGGTACTGCTACTGCTATGACTATGACTATGACTATGACTATGACTACTACTACGACAAAGGTTAAAAGACGTTAACACAAAGTAAATGTATGTAACTGTGGTTCTATGAATCCCTCCTGACTGGGTCCAGAGGGATGAAACAACATGCCATACACTTCCATTCGAGTCATTTGGATGATTTCAGCCCTGGAATTTCGGATCTGAACTAAATGTAAAAAGAGCTGTTCACTTCAAAACTACCACTATATGACATCACAAGGTGATGTAGACAGACTCATAATAAAGTGTCACTCAAATGTCTGAATGAAACAAAACACGACTCTGGGTTTGTTTCTGAGGAGGGAACAATGCGTCTTAAAGCTCCATGTATCTTAAAGAGTCCATGTTGTTTTATACAGGACCTTTAAAAACATTTGATTATACAGAGGAGCCAACATTAGAAAAACCTTTAAAGAGTATCTCTTATATTATTTATTCAGGTTTCTGTATTGATGGTAAACTAACCCACAATGAGAAACGAAGAACTGAACCTCTGAGCATCCTCTCCTCACGGGTGCTCCACTCCTCCTGCTCTCTGGTTGGACTGACAGGAGCTTCTTCTCTTGTTTTTTTTTTTTTTTTACTTTTCTATCACAAACTGTTTTTCCACTTGTGCTTATTTCGTCTGGGAACAGTGAATCGAACCCTTTGCATTCAAAGGACATTTTTACACAACCTTACAATGAACATTTGTATTTCTACTCACTAGCTGAACTTATCGGGTGCAGATTACAAATTGTATTTGTATACTGAATGTCATATTCTGAATGGCCATTTGTTTTGTTAATTGTTGTTTGTCAGTGTTTTAATATTTCAATATATGGTACCTTCAAAAAGCAACTCCTGATCCAGTGTTTCTCTCCACTTCAGAGCCACATTTACATCTTCTGCTACTCAGCCCATTATACAAGTGTAATTACCATTTTAATACATTGTACTTAACATTGTAGTAACACACCTGCTACACACACAGTGTTCATCATATAAATAAGATTATAGAATTGTGTTGTATCCCCAGTGTAACTTATTCTAACAATCATCTGCGTACATCACCTTTTAAACACAGAAATGCTCCGTGCATTAAGAGAATCTGTGCCTTTATTCACTGTTTACATGCACTAAAAGGGAAGCACTGCTCAGTGTGACCTCCGGACATAAAAATCACCTTAAACTTTACCTTTACCTGTGTACTTCCTTTCACCTAATACTCTTTAAAAACTCTTCCAGGCAAACAAGTCTAGAGTGTAATAGGTCCATCTATTCAGGAGTTTGCTCTGTTTATCTAGAGCGTTCAGAATGACGGAAAATGAGTAATCGCTGCCAATTCAGAACTAAATATTCTGTCTTTTGAATGGTAGTCCTCAAGATTTTACTCATAACAGAAAGCTGAAAAGCATGAATAAATGACATTTTGAGGACAATTCCCTATTCAGAAGATAGAATATAAGGTTCTGAATTGTTAATTGCTCTGGTAACTGATCTCTGAAACTCATGGATACAAAAAACAAAACTCATAGCCTGGTCAAAGTTTTGCCCTGGAGCCAAAAGTTTACCAGAGAATCAGAAAAGACAGGGGATATCTGAGTAAAGACGAGCTGTTGAAGACATGTACATGCTGGAGTGTCTGGAGTGTTTTAGTGTGGTACTGACTTGTCCAGAGCCGAGCCTTGGGCCTGGTTACTGGTCAGACGAGAGAAGACATTTCTGTCATTCCTGGTTCTGAGCGGAGGAGAAGATGGAGGAGTGTAGCCATCGGTGGGTCTGATAAAGAGAGAGATAGAGAGTGAGTGTGTGTGTGTAATCCCTCAGTCATCCAGGTATGTTCCACTGCAAAAGAAAATTCAATTCTGTCAACTGAACAACATTTCTGGCCAGAAAGTCTGTACTAGATGAATTCTCATGAGCTTGTGGAAAACCTTGCTTCAATCCAGCAGGCTTGATGTACATGCTGTTGGTCTTCCTCAAGTCCTGGTCTAGTCCAGGTTTAGTTCTGGGTTTAATCTCGGTTTAGTCCAGTCCTTCTCAAATAGTGACATGTGGTGCAAAGCCAGGAGGGGGCGTGTGACCTCGGGGAACATGCTTTTTTTTTTTGCCATACTAGAATAAAGTGTAATTGCACATCCACTACAGTAGTTGACAGTGGCGCTCTCATTGTCAGTGTGCACAGGCAGTATAGACACATCAAGAATCTCGGACTTCCGGTCATTGCGCAATTCATACTGGGGAGGATTTTACAAAAAAGTGAGCATCAAACCTCCATGTTTGTTTTCCCAGTGGGATGTGTCTCTTGACAAAGTCGATCTTTTCAAGTCTTTTGAACCATATCACTTTTGTTTCTGGTTCTGATATTGTCATATTTTAGTTTTGAGATTTGGACATCGTAATTGTGTTGTTGTTGGATCCTAACAGCGGAAAACGGCTCAAGAAATTTGTTTGCGAAGTCCATAAATGCAAAAGGGAATCAGATGTGTGTGACTCAAACCTCTGTTCAAACTGTTTCTCTTTCCAACGGAATTGAAAACGGTAATCGAGCAGCAGAAAGAAAGTTTGGAATGAGCGAGAAATATGTGGGGACTTGCGGAAAGCGGGGATGGAGAATACAGTTTCACGACAACCAGGAGGGTGCACCATGCAACTCACTGGACTTCAGTGACACCGAAACCATCCTGTCGGGATTCAGAAAAACCCGAATAATTCTAACTGGAACTGATGCTGAGTCTGACGACAGTGATAGAGAAGAGGAAGCGGCGCTCTCTTTACCTCCGGAGGTCGAGGCAGAGTTGTTCAGAAGTGACAGCGAGGATGAAGAATTCAATGGATTTAGTGATTTGGAGTGAGATGGAGAGTTTGGTAAACTTGTTCTGTTCTGTTGTTTATGTTATAGTTATCTGAAGAACTGTTCATATGTGACGTTAACAGTCTCTCTTCTATTGTTATCACTACAACTTGACTTTACACAGGAAATGTCTGCTCCTGGTCTCTGATTTTATGAAATAAATTTCCCAAAAAAAGTGCCACTTATCGTCAGAAAAATGTGGTACTCTGTTTTAGTTCTTTGGTCCTGATTGAACAAAAGAGCCAGACTTGGACATAAGTGTGAAGCAGAGTCTGTACCTGTACGGACGGTCGTAGGACTTCCTCCTGGTGAGAGGAGACGTGTCATATCCCCGAGACTGACGCGGGCTGGAACAGAGCACACAAAAATAAATCAAACAACTTTATTTTACGTTTAAAAAGACACTGTGCAAAATCTCCTCTGCGTCCTCTGCCTCTCTCCTCTGCGTCCTCTACCTCTCTCCTCTGCATCCTCTGACCCTCTCCTCCTCTGCATCCTCTGACCCTCTCCTCCTCTGCATCCTCTGACCTTCTCCTCCTCTGCATCCTCTGACCTTCTCCTCCTCTGCATCCTCTGACCTCTCTCCTCTGCTTCCTCTGACCTTCTCCTCCTCTGCATCCTCTGACCCTCTCCTCTGCATCCACTCTCTCCTCAGTCTATTTTTAGGTGATTAGGTAAACTAACATAAAAAACAACAACTCTTAAATTTCTTTTTCAACATTAACTTTGCTTTGACAGTTTGGCTGGCGGGCGTGTCTGGTGTGAGTATTTCTGCGTCTCCCTGCGGCGCTCGCTTTCCTCTGGGAGCAGTGCTGTGAGGAAAGGGGGGAGCTGTGCACAAACTGTACAACTTTAAACAGCATGTATTATCCTTTTACTCCTGACATTTACTGCTAATCTGCTGTGTTAAATCATTCCCCCTTCAGAGCGCTATCACAACACATTTGGCTAATGAAACCACTCGTTGCTCCGTGTACCATTCGTTCTTTTAAATTTCAATTAAGAACGAAAAACAATCAAATGGGAAAACAGTTTGTTATCAAAAACAGTCTCAGTGCCTATTTTAATTTGGATAGTTTATTCTCTCTGGTTTATATGAAGTTCTATTGCTCAGCGCCGCGTGTGACTTCAGAGTCAGTGAACAAAGGAGAGTTTAGAGAGTTCGAAAGTGAGCGCCTCAGTGTGATGTCACAGAGATAAAGGGGCAGTCAGTTGAGTGGGTGGACTCCTGTAAGTATCTTGGAACACTCATTGATTCAAATTTGAGCTTTGATGATAATTGTGCTGTGTGTCTTCATTGTCTGAGGAAGTTTTCCTTTTACCATGTCCACAGAACCATGATGACTCTGTTCTATAAAACGTTTATGGAATCAGTTTGAACGTTTTCATTGGTCTCATGGTTTGGGAGCGTCTCTGCTAAAAATGAGAACTCCCTGAATCAGTTGGTTAAATGGGTGAGTGAGGTGATTGTTCATCCTCAGAGCCGATGGACTCTCTGTATTCGAGACACTTACAGAGGATGTCCCAGAGGATTTTAAAAGACGTGAAACATTCACTAAACTCAGAGTTTCAGCTGCTTCCCTCTGGTCAGAAGCTTTTAGTCCCAAGATCTAGAACGAATCGTTTTAAAAGGAGCTTTGTTCCGGCTGCTGTCGTACTTGTGAATAAATTGTATTTATCTAAGATTGTGTGTTTTTAACATATTTAATATTTATTGTGTTTTTAGCCAAGTGTGATGGATGAATTTATCTAATTGTTTATGGAACAAACCATTGTGCACTGGAGCAGTGTTACCACCGTATGTTGTAATTGTATTTTTATACGTGTTTATTGTACATAATGAGTATATGTGAAATGTGGAGCCTGCTTCTCAAATCTGCAAAACAAATTTACCTACGGGTATGAATGAAGTGACCTAACTTAACCTATCGCTGCTTCCTGTTTATCGTCATGGAGTTCAACAATGACTTTCTAAGATGTGGAAGTAAACGAGTCTATAAAAGAAGACGACATGTTTGTCCACAAAATGATTTTTCAGGTGAGTCCTTCTAGCAGCAGAACTTCCAGGGCAAATAAACCGAGAATAAAATATAAAAAATAAAGAGACCGTTTTTTGATTAGTGTTATCTGAAATACATTTTAAATTAAATATTGGAAATAGAGGTCGAAGTTTTTTTGTTTTTTTTTTGTTTGTTTTTTTTATTAGACACTAAAATGGAAAATTGTTTTCCCATTCCCAAACTAAGTCAAAACATCTTTGTGAAGACGAGCAGGTGGTGGACACTAAATAATACACAGATAATCTAACAGATAATACTCCCTACAACTGTACAACAACTCACCCTTATATAACAGATAATACTCCCTACAACTCACCCTTATGTAACAGATAATACTCCCTACAGCTGTACAACTCACCCTTATGTAACAAATAATACTCCCTACAACTGCACAACAACTCACCCTTATGGAACAGATAACTACGTCCTGTCAATTATCATATCCTTTTTGCACTGTTTTCCTTATAACTTTTTTTTTTTTTTTTTTTTTTTTTTTTTTGTCTATTTTATTGTGCCTTGTACATACATATAAGTCTAATGCATGGATTTTAAAATGTTAATATTGTCTAGCTTCAAAAATGTATCTGAAGCTAGACAACATTTGTGGTAAAGTATGTCATAATCCTGTAGAGAAAATGAAAAACTATCGAGAGGTTAACATTTCTGTAAAATATCCAGAAATCATAATCTATTACATAAACAAATGATGCATGATATAATACAGCTGTAAATGTCTTTAATTAAAGCAGGCTCTGACATCACTCACATGTAGAGGAGTGGTTTTCATTTGCCAAAACCAATTTTTATTTTTCTTGTATCTGTAGTTAATCTCAGTTTCCCAAGTTCAAATCACACTATGTTCCACTTCACTTTGTCCCTTGCCTCCTCTCAAGAATTCAACATTTTTGTCAGCACATTTTTAAAGATTCTTTCTGCCCACGTTTACATGATGTTTTTTTTTTTTTTTTAATTCCGAATGAGTTGTTGTGAATTAAATAGTTCGGAATTAAAATATTCTCCTTCAAATTTACATGGAAATAATAATTTAGAATTGAGGTTTACATGGAAAACTTGTTAAATCGTCTTTATTTAATTCTGCTCAATATCTGGGGGCGGAGAAGGGTTCTGATTGGACAGAGACACCAACGTATTTACGTCTTTGGGAAGAAAACACACACTTCAGCTGCCACAGGCTTTTCTGTCATCTCGGTTAGTCGTTACACCACGGACACAGACATGAAGAGTGTCGGAGAAGGGAGGAAGACAACAAACTGAGTGTGAGGCTGCTCTACCTCAGCCCACTCCCACATCCCGCTCACAAATCCAAAGAGACGTGGATGAAAGTCTGAAGCCAGGACTGGTGGAGCCGCATCATGTCAGAAGGGCGACACAACGAGCATGCTCCGAACCACCGTCATTATTTTTAAGAAGAATAAACATTTATATGATCGAGGAATGAATTAAACTACCGTATTTATATGGCACTCTGGATTATAAGACACACTGTCATTAAATGGTCTGTTTTTGAACTTTTTTCACAAATAAACCGCACTGAACTTTAAAAGAAACAACAGTTGGATGGGTCAGTGGGACTTTGTTTGTCGTGTTCACGGTGACTCTGGGCTTTGTTCAGTTGTGGCGTGTAGGGAGGGTGCTGTCTGGGACCGCTGGATTGTCGGCGTGTTCGCAGTGACTCAGTTGTTCAGTTGTGTCTAGAAGTGGCACATTGCACTCGCTTTTTTTCGGTTCGTTCCTCTGTTCCGTTCCTCATCGCCGTGGAGTGATGAGTGTGTCTGTGGGTGTTTTTCGCTGTGCGGTCGCTGTCTGCTCCGTGTGTGTTTGTGTGTCTGCGGGTGGAGTGGCTTTGTAGTTTACTGAAGTTGTGCTGGGACACCTGGATTGTGGGGCGCAGTCGTTTTTTGATGGGGCTGGAGGCTTAAGAGTGCTTCTAATAGCCCGGAAAATACGGTACCCACTTATTTCAAAAATTAAGTTACCGAATAATCATTTTCATTAGGAATTAAGTGTTTCCATGGTCGTTTAAAGTGGAATTAATTTAGTTTCAGAATTAAATCTCTCATATAAACGTGGCAGCTGGCAGTTGACTTACAAAGTGTGTCCTCGTATGGGCAGGCTGATGGTTCTGGAGGCCCTCTCTCTCTGCGTTGGTTCTCTCAGGGACAGACTGAAGCTCACACAGCTCAGACCGTCCTCTTGGATATCGGTCAGAGATGCCAGGGACTTTGTGATGTACTGCACTTTACTGCTACTACCACTACTACTACCACCATCCAACGGAGGACCTAAGCACTCTGCGGAAATCGCCTTTATCTGAGCAGACAAGCGGGGCTCCGACTGCAAACAAACAAACAAAAATTAAGTTCACAAAGTTTCTGACAAATATTGCACAACAGTATTTGAGTGGCAAAAAAATATAATTTAAAGGTGTTTCTTTTGTGTAACTTTTCTGATGGAGGGTGCGTTAAATGCTTTTTTCCATGGAAATTACTTTACTTTGTTCAAAAATTTTCACCTTTCTATCTTCACCAAACCAGACTAAGTTACAGGTCAGCTCTGTGGAGAGGCGACCCAACTCCCAGTCAGAATGTCTGTTTTTTCTAGATATTTTTGAGCCATAAAACCACCTGTAATTGAATAAACGTAAGGCAGAGCTGTTTAATGTCACACTGTGGGACATTCCAGGCAGAGCAGTGACATCTTCATGGAAACAAGCAGGTGACGGACCCTCCACCGGAAAAGTTACACAATGCATGTCTGAACATTGCAATTTCCTTGGAGCCAGATCGTGATTTTGATGTCGACCATTTTTCTATTGTCGTTAAGAGGTAAAGTCATTTTATTTTAAGATCACTCTTCACTGTGATTGGTTAAGCCCACCTGTCACTCATTCAGAGCTTAGAGATGGACCAATAGGAGGAGTGGGTGGGAAAAAGTCGACATTTGCAGTGATGTTCCGACTTGTATATTTTGTACTGTCTATCAAAGTCTATTTTCGCCTTATTTTAATGCAAGCCCTGATTTTTTTCTTTTATTTTATCAGAGTTTATATTATTATTATTATTCTTTGTTTAATGTTGCACCACAACACTGAAGTTTGTGAATTTTGTTCAATGGCAATAAAACGTCTGATTCTGATCACTGAGAATGGACAGAGACAGTGGCTTATGATAGGACCAAAACAGCAGATGGTCACATGGACGATCAGAATTCAGTTTTTATTTCTTTATCGCCCTGCCAGAAACATAAACAATCTGAACTGCTAAACTCATCCAAGAATCTCAAAATAAAACCCTATGGAGACACAGGGAGGGCATCTGGCGCACAGGGACATTTTAGAACATGTTTACAGAGGTCTAAACTACAGCAGCTTTTACACTGAACAAGCAGGTGATAAACTTAGACTTATACAAAATTTATTGATCCACAAGGGAAATAATTTGAACACTGGGGCTCACACATTATAATATCATAAAATAACAAAGAGAAAAAATATAAATGGAAATAATAAATCCTAAATAAGCAGCAAAAAAGAGATGATGATGAGGAAAGTGACGCTTGCTGGTTTAAAAGTAGGCTTACACTGCCCCCATGTGGATGCAACTGTCAGTGCATTTCTTACTGAATTTGAGGCAAAAAAAGTAAAACTGGGGACAGACCTGCATGACCTTCATCTTGAAATCGTCCTGACTGTTGGACTCCTTCATCTGGGACACACTGAGGAGAGAAAGAAGGACAGAATGGGACAGAGAGGAGAGAGAAAAAAGGAAGAGAGATGAGTTAGAACAGTTGAACATACCAACACAGAAGCCACATCAAATATTTCTGAGAGAGCTGGAGGTGAACAGGTACAGAGTAGTATTTTTATATATTTCCCCTAAATGTTTCATCGTATTTCTCACAGTATATTCATTTACTTGGAAGTCAGAGTAGAGTACCTGCAGTCTGAGGCCTGGCTGAACTCAGAGGGCTCCTCATCTGTGCTGGTGTAGCCGTTTTCTGTCACAAATAAAACTGTCAGAAAGCTCAGATACACACTCCTCATACACATAAAGTGGTAAAAATTATGGATTATGTTGGGGCAGACTTAGGCCTGTAACGATAACAGATTTTGGTGGGCGATTAATTGACCAAGAAATGATTGAGATAAATGATAATAATGACATTTTAAAACCATTTTCAAATAATATAATGAGAATGGAATAAAATGCAAATACACCCTTTAAAAGATGAGTAAACTTTACTTTCCAAAGGACATTTAACAAGAACTGCAAGACAACCAAAAACAATAGGCCTAAATAAATTAGACTCCCTACAACTGTACAAAAACACACTCTTATGGACCAGATAATACTCCCTACAACTGAACAACTCACCCTTGTGGAACAGATAATACTCCCTACAACTGTACAACAACTCACTCTTATGGAACAGATAATACTCCCTACAACTGTACAACAACACAACTCTTATGGAACAGATAATACTCCCTACAACTGTACAACAACGCAATCTTATGGAACAGATAATACTCCCTACAACTATACAACACAACCTTATGGAACAGATAATACTCCCTACAACTGTACAACAACACAACCTTATGGAACAGATAATACTCCCTACAACTGTACAAAAACACAACCTTATGGAACAGATAATACTCCCTACAACTGTACAAAAACACAACCTTATGGAACAGATAATACTCCCTACAACTGTAAAACAACAGAACCTTATGGACCAGATAATACTCCCTACAATTGTACAACACAACCACCTTATGGAACAGATAATACTCCCTACAACTGTACAACAACTCACTCTTATGGAACAGATAATACTCCCTACAATTGTATAACAACTCATTCTTATGGAACAGATAACTTTGTCCTGTCAATTATCATATCATTTTTGCACTGTTTTCCTTATAGCTTTTTTTCTATTTTATTGTGCCTTTTACATTAAGTCTAATGCATGGATTTTAAAATATTAATATTGTCTAGCTTCAAAAATGTACACAGACAGCGGCGCTTTCTGCACTCGGGTTGCGCGCACATCCACTGTGTTCATAAACACATAAACTGTCCATACAAACTATGCCCCATGGTCTGTGCTGACACGTTGGTTCAAGCATTATTACGCTAAAGAGACAAGAGGAATCAGAGAGCGTTTTCACTTTTGGTAGAGAGAGATGAGGAAAACAAACAAGAAACTAGAATCATGGCTGGAAAAGTTATCAAGCTCGTTAAAAGTTATATCAGTAATTGATATATTGATTATTGTTACAGGCCAAAGGCAGACTCATAGATAAACTCATAGACATGACTTAGAATTTCATCTCCCAAAACACAGTGAAAAACACTGGAAGAGCAAGAGGCTCAAAAAAGTGAGGAAAAAGTGTTATTTTATCCAAGGAAAATGTATGTTATTGTATGTAAATGGTTGCGCACAACAACAAAAACAGGGACAAGGTGATTATTTGCACTGTGATCTTTAACATTCTCTACTCAGTTCACTTTAATATAATAACTCTCATACTCTAAATAGACTTGGTTTAATCCCAGTTTAGGCCAAACCTGGTTTAAATTAGTATAACTATTAATTCAGAAGATATGAATCATAACGCCTTGATCTCATTGGTGTCATGCTGTGAATCAGTGCAGGAAGTTTGCGTATAATCTACAGGCACAAGCACATAAGACCTGGTCCAGATCCAGTACAGTCCCGGTCCAGTCCTGGTCCAGTCCTTGTTCTTACCCTGTGTTACGTTGTGTATGAGAGCCTGGAGTTCTGGGATACACTCGGCCTTCTCTCTGAGCGCGTCCAGGATCATGTGATTCTGGGAGGAGCCAATCACATCGGTCTGTCTGAGCTGCCCCTCCAACAGGCGGATCTGAGACTCCCTCTGCGCCACCTGCAAACTCTGAACACATGGAAAAGGTTTTTAAATACAGCCAAATGTAAGAGGAGCATACGCTGCACACTGCAGTCGAATGTCAGATTAACCTGGCCTCAAATAGGAAATCTTCACAAAATCACAAGAATCCATCTGTTGTGATTGAGCCCTGGACACCAGAGGTTCTGACCAATCACAGAGCAGCTTGGTGGTTTGGTAGGAGCCAAAGGTGAAGCTCCCAAACAAATTTTAGCAGAAATTATTTAGTTTTTGAAAAAGAGGCTTTTGGGGAGGGAAAGATCTGTGCTTTTCTCTCCACTGGATTTAACCAAAGTTTGAATTTTGGCTTGTTCTGCTGATTCAGACTGAAATACTCATCATGACATTCTGTCTTTTCCGATTGCTTTCAGCTAGAGCCGCTCCAGACTGAGACATGTGCAGAGCTCAGTGTGTGTGCTGAACATAAGCTCTCAGTCTGGAGTGAGGTCAAGGCCATTTAAACAGGCAGCAGCCATTTAAAAAGGAAATATGCTGACCTTATCTATGGACGCTTTGAGGAAATGGTCCAGCAGGTGGCGCGCTTCAGCCAAAGAACAAGAGCTGATGACCACAGACGTGTCCACAGAGTCCAGCTCATCCTGAAGAGAAACAGAAGGGGGCGATAGACGGTTTAATATTTTACATCTACAATCATGAATACATCATATGAACATAATACAGGTGGAACTGTTCATATTGTGTCTGTTTAAATCTCTCATACCTTGGTCTCCTCGATCTGCACGATCGTGGCCTGACAGTCAGACAGGCTGTCGTTGATGTAGTCGATGTTTGCGTTCAGAACTTCCATGTCTTCACCTATTTCCTGAAGGAGGCGGTCCTCAGCCTCTGGCCCCTCCCCCTCCGCCATAAGCACCTCCCTTTTATGGGACAGCGCCTCCTGTTGGGCAATCAGCTCCTCTCGCTTCTGTAAAAAGAACAGCACAAAAAAGTTATAGACACTTAAACTCTCTCCTCTGCATCTGACCCTGAATGTAAAACACTTGAGTACACTCTTGTACAACAGGGCCTGGGAGAGATCGCTAAATGACTCAAACATGCATGAATGACATTAAAACCTCTTCAGGCAGGTTTTTGATGAGGGAATAATGTAATAACCTGGTCGAAAGCTCCAAAAAGGCAATTTTGTAATAAAAACCATGTGTACCTTTATGAGTCTGTCCATGTCGGCCTCCACGTTGGCGATGGTCATCCTCTGCACCACGATGTCCCTGATCCTTCGTTCCAGCGTCTGCCATTTCTGACGTGCCATTTTAGAGGCGGAGCCAGCTCTGTGGGTGGGGCTAAGGTGAGGGAGGAGGGCGGGTTTACGCACCAGTTTCCTCCTGCTGCTGTGAGGAGAAACAGGATACAAGATCAAACTATTGAACTCATTCAACTCAAATGAACAAATCTACTACATCATTCTATTCGATTATCAGTTTTATCTGTTGATACAGATTCTCAAGTTGTGTTTTGTGGCTGGTAACTGGTATTTTAAACTTTGCTGTCACCAGTTTAAATGAGAAAATCATAGCAAGACTGCAGCGGCCCAAACTTATTCCTCACTTTCTTACTAATTTTTTATCCTAATCATTTCTAAGCATCCTAATGATTCACCCTGATGAGATTATAAGCACTTTATAACTGTTATCCTCTAAACTCCAAAACATGTCATCACCTAAGAGCTTTTATGAATCAAACAAAGCAAGAATGATTCCAAAATAACCATCAGGATGTTCTCTACATCTCTTTGGCTTCATCTGAGTCAGGTTTAAGAGAAATCTCATATCCAAGTGTCTTTTGCCAAACAAATATTCATTTAATTTAAAGAATATTTCCTAAATTAAATCAATTAGTAAAATCAACTGCAGCCAATCAATCCGCTCTCCACCTCTCTCTCTCTCTCTCTCTCTCTCCACCTCTCTCATCCCCTCTCTCACCACTTCTCTCCCCCTCTCTGTCCCTCTTCCCACCTCTCATCCCTCTATCCCCCTCTCTCCCCCTCTTTTCCCGTCTCTCTCTACGTCTGATCCCTCTCTCCACCTCTCTCCCTCTCTCTTCCCCCCCTTTCCCTCTCTCTCCTTCTCTCCCCCTCTCTCTCCTCCTCTCACCCATTCACTAAATGCACAGAGAAAAAGAGATACTGAAAGTAGCAGGAAGAAAAGCTACCGACTCTGCCACTTTTACAGTAAGTAGATCAAATGAATATTTACCCGATGACCCTGGTGCCGTCCATGCTGCCCTCGCTCTCAGCCAGGTATCCTCCGTACATGTTGTTCTTGTTGTTCCAGTGGCGCACCAGGCCGCTGACCGACGCTCTCCCGGAATCGGGCTCAGACGCAGGGGTGGAGGCGGACAGTTCGGCCCCCGAGTCCGGAGAGGCGTGGCTCCAGCGCTGGACGACCCTCCCGGCCGCGCGCTCCGACAGAGGCTTGGCCAGTCTGCGAAGAGCGCTCACCTCCTCCGTCTTCCTCCTCAACACCAGCTCCTGCTGACGCTTCTGACACTCCAGAGCCCGGATCTGATACTGCACAGAGAGAGAGACAGAGGCGTAGAGACAGAGAGAGAGAGAGAGAGAGAGAAAGGAGAGAGAGAGGAGAGAGAGGGAGAGAGAGAGAGGGGGAGAACAAGGGGGGAGACAGGGAGAGATAGAGAGGGGAAGGGAGAGGGGGAGAGAGAGGGAGAGAGAGGATAAATAAACACAACCAAAATAAAAATGATTAAATTTAAAACATCCATGTCTTACCTCCTGGCGGCGCTGTTCCTTCTTGAGCTGTGCGATTTCTCGGTTTCTTTTGGCATCCACCAACTTCCTCTTCTGCTGCTCCTCCTTCATCTGCCTCATCAGCGCCACCTGTAGCACACACACACACACACAGGCTCCACTTCACATTTAACTTTACTAAAGGAGTCACATCCAGCTCTCCTCCCGGACATCGGCTCCACTTCACTTTGCACTGAAAACCCGTCTGGAGTGTCTCAGTCTGGTCTCAAAATGTTGATTCTAACCCACTTCACATGATCCTGGTGTTTTTATTTTGCTATTGTGTCCTTTAGTCAAGATTTGAACATAAAAATAATAATAAAAAAAAAAAAAAAGACTAAAATGAAAAAATAAAATAAATACATACATGCATACAAAATAAAATAAAAATGAATAAAATAAATGAATAAATAAATAAATAAGTTAATTAATCAATTAATAAATAAATTAATTAATTAATTAATAATACATACATACATACATACAAAAATTAAATAAAAAAGTAAAATAAAAAAAAAATAAATAAAATAAATACATAAATAAATACATACATACATAAAAAAATTAAATGAAATGAGGCATCTGCTTCCTCTGGGGTACAGTCAGGTAGTGTTCGCTGTCAGTCAAAAGGCAGTGGTCATGCTAAGAAGTGTCACCTTGTTTTCCTATACGCACTCAAAATTTCAAATATGTAATTCTGCTCCAGATCAGGAGCTATAACTACTGGCCTCGTGAGCTTCACTTGGCTGAAGTGGAACACTGAGGGTGACGTCACGTTCCCTTACTCCATTTCTATAAACAGTGTGTCCTTCATACCTTGGCTTTCTTCATGTCCTCCAGGTCTCCCTGCAGTTTCTTGAGCTCCCTCTCGTAGCGGCTCTGGTTTTTCAGTAGTCTGGCGTGTTCTTTCTGTGCAGCCTGGAGTTTCTGCAGATCGCGGTTCATTTCTTTGAGTCGTTTCTCGTACTCCTGCTTCACCTTACTGGCCTTCTCCTCTGTGTAATTCTCCATAGACACTGAGGACACAAGCAGAGGACTTAACCCGCTGTTTGTCATGACAGTGAAACATACAGAGAAAGCTGCTTTAAAGTCACATCACGTTATAGTTTCATCTGGTATCCAGAGTTAAAGAGGGTGAATTTTCACCTCTATACAAGTATGAACTGCTAACACGTAACATATTTAGATCTTCATGTTACCTTTTATTGTTTGGAAAATGCTATAATCGCTGAAACAACATATAAACATGTTTAATCATTTTCATCTTAATTTTTTCAATACTCTGAGTCGCTCCCCCTTTACAATCTATTACAATCTGTGTGTGTTCCACTAATGAAAATCCCGCACATCATATCAGGTTTGAAAAGTTGTTTTGTGTCATATTTTTGTACATTCATGGAAATTGTTGTGTGGGAGCATGGGTGACGTAGACTTGTGGGCGGAGTCTCTGTACTCACTGAGATTGTGCAGTACTCTGTCTCTCTCCAGTTGTGTGTCTCGTATCTTGTTTTGCAGTAGAATCAGTTTCTCTTCATACTGGAGTTTCAGAGTCAGGAGTCGTCTCTGACTGTTCTCCAGTTCATCGATCAGACGCTGCTTTATCTCCATCTCACAGGTCAGCTCTGCCAGGTCTGCCTGCAGGTTACCTGCTAACACACAATAACACAATAACACACACAATAACACACACATTACACTCATTACAAATACACAGGAGGGCTACAAGGGTCCATTCTCAGGCCCTTGAGTTTTCTGCTGGAGTCATGTCCAACAGCAGGAGACGCAGCAGGATGTGTGATGGAGATTTATACTGTGCAAAGATTCTCTCAGTGTGTGTTTGTGTAAATGAATGTGATTTGTACCTAAGACCAGAGCATCAGTAACATGTGTAAAGGCTCAGCAGACACAACTGTCCCCACTCTCAGTAAACCTTTGTTTTAGCTGTCCTCAAATGTAAGTGACTAAGTACGTTGAGTAGCACAATCCTGTGAAACAAAAGTTCCTCTGATACTCTACTCTGATCTGTCTGTAACTTGTATTTCTGTATAAATACTGAGAGCTCAAATGCTCTGGGGTGGAGAGACTCAGCGCTCAGATGCTCTGGGAGCAGATGCTCTGAGGGGGTGCTCAGGAGGTAGAGATGAAGGTCTGATGTTGGAGGACATGCTGCTGGTTAAGAGAGGCTGTTGGTCTGTGGACAGGGCAGGCCTAGGCCCTGTCCATATCTGCTGTAACAAGAATAAACCTTTGTCTGTATTTTTTTTTTAAACTCACCAGGCTTTGCAAATGGATTAATTATTTAGCATGATTTTTTCCACAACAGGGGCGTGAAAACACTGTGCATGTTGTGTCCAGTGACCTGTAACATCTCAAACTGTGTATAGAGGGAAAAAAAAAAATTGTCAAACTGAGGAATATTCGGTTCTTTAGCAGCCTCGTCTGACTCTGATGTTTCACCTGGGACCCTCTGGCTGTATGACCAAAGTGCTCTCCCACTGTCAGATGCACTGGTGTTTGGGGAGTCATGTTGAGGTTAAATAAATGACAGAACAGTTCATACCTTTGTCGTCCGAGTCGGAGTCTGAGTCCACACAGCTCTCATCGCTGTCGAAGTCTTCCTCCTCTCTGCCCTCCTCCTCCTCCCCCTCCTCCTCCCCCTCCTCACAGCCACTCTCCTCCTGCAGTGGAGACATTAGGTCCTGAAAACACAACACCATCAGTTAGAATGAAATTGAAGGGCAAACTAGTTAGTCATATATAGTTTTTGTCTTATCTTGTTAACAAAATGCAGACAATTTTAATAAAGCATCAGGAATGTACTAAAATGATCCTTTAAAGGCCTTGTTGAGATGTAAGTCTAGCACAAAATGTAAAAAAAAAAATTATATTATCCTTTTTTTATACATCTACTCACTTTAAAAACTATGAACCAGACACTCAAAAACTCAACTGAAAATAGGAGCTAACAGAGTTTAACTGGACTGTACCCCGACTAAAGGTGAAATGTCTTGCTCAAGCACAGAAGTTCTATTGTGGCCATCTTGCTGCTGTACCTCTGTGTAGTTGTCGTCCGAGTCGATCTCTCCGTTCTGTCCATTCTGTCCGTTTTCGTCTCCTCCGTGGCCGTTCTCTCCGTTCTCTTGAGTGTGGAGCTTCACTCGCTTCTTCAGACCCTTCTCCATCTCTGGGCTGAGGAAAAGAAAAAGAAAAACTATTTAACAAAATGTACAAGTTTCATCAGTCAGGAAAATGCAGATAGAACTGTACTTGCTTTTATCTAATATCTCACTGATCACAGTTTGTGTGTCATATAAATAGACGCCCAGAAATCAGAGAATATTCAGATTTGTGGAGGGTAAAAATCTGAAGATGCAGAAATTGGACAACAGATGGCGCTGTTGCCTTAACAATACATGCAGGAGAAGACAGTGCGGTGACAATACATTTACCAGGTATTGATAAAACCTCTATACAATATCAATGAAAAGGAATTCACAAAAGATTAAATATTTAGAAATTTGTTGGGCTGTAGACGATTAAATAAATTTGCGGTTGACATGCCCCGCTCTCAAACCATTCTCTATTGTTATAATCTGATGTAACTGCACTCACAAGACTACAACTGCATGTGAGCTCATGCAAAAACAACTATTTACAGAGAAATGTACTAAAAAAAAGTGTGAGTTTATACGGAAAAGGGAAGATGCAAGAGTCACTCCCAAATCTTCAGCTTCTCCGCCTTCTCCTTTCTGCTGTTGTGCAACTAATTTCTAATTAATTAAATAAAATAATCAGTCAGCTAATTAATGCAAATTTTGAGATAAGCAGGAGTAACTGAAGCAACTGGACTTGGGCAGCATCATCAGGTCTTGTGTTGTTGTGTTGGTGACTGGGAGAGTCCTAATGAAGGTTGGTAGAGGTAGAGAAACATTGACTTCAAAAACAACGTAATTCCAGTTGATTTGTTTTAAAGGGCTCATTTTACACTAATTTCTGATGTATGTTTCCTCAAAAACAGCCATGAAGTTGTGTTTTGGTTCATTCACACATGTTTAACCCACAAACCTGCACATTTATGTCTTGTTACTGTCATTTCAAAGTAATTTGTTACATTACAATATTACTGTATTTAAAAAGTAAAACATTACACGACTATTGCAGCATTTTTAAGTTACTCTCACCAAAATAACTGTGAAGATGCTGAACTTTTGCGCCTTATATGGACTAAACCAGGACTAAACCAGGTCTAAATCAGAACTGAACCAGGACTGAACCAGGTCTAAACCAGGTCTAAACAAGAACTAAACCAGGACCAAACCAGGAGTAATCTTGGACTAGAACTTGGAATCTAGGACTACCCCTGAGAGAACCCCGAGTCCGTGGAGCAGAGTGTCTGCATGGTGCGATCGGGTGTCAGCTGCGTTTAGCCCCGTGAAGTGTGGAGTTCTGTGTTGGTCCTTTCGCCCACAGTCACCTGATGGTCTACCTGGGCGCGTCTTCGGCGTTTCACCGCTGCTGATATCGTGGTAATTTTAGCAAATTTGTATGAAGAAAAACCCACCACTTCAATCCAGGATAAAAAGCACTGTAACGCGTGTTACTCACATCTGTACCAAGTAAAATATTACATTTTTTTCCCTGTAATGCCACATTACTGAGTTACAACAAAAAGCAATGAATTAAAGTAATTTGTTACTTTTAAAAAGCGTTACTCCCGTTTTCAAAACAGAAAACTCTCCTGTCAGGTAATACAGGAAATGTTTTTAAACCCCAAACACCTTCAAAAGAATCATCTGGATTGTTTCAGTTCTAGAATTTCCAATCTCCATCAAACCAAAACTAAAAGGAGCTTGAAAACTACCACTACATGACATCACAAGGTGGAACAGAGCATTTTGAACAATAGAGATGTAGACAGACTAATAAAGAGTTACTCAAAGATGTGTGAATGAAACAAACACAACTCCAGCTCTGATTTTGAGGAGGGAAGAACATTCTAACACGGTTTAAAGCTCAAAGAGTCAGTTTTGAATAACAGAAGACCATTCACTTGTTGATAATTAGTCGGCTCATACAAATTCTGGTGAACTAAGACACCATTGACGTAGACATTTGAAAAACTTTATTTCTATGTCTCATTTGAAGCCCACAAACAGCACATAAATACAGTAGTGCTTTGGCAACTCACCAACAAACACTACAGGTCATTAGAGTACAGCCACACATCTGGACACAGTTTAGATTTCTGCTATTACTTTTTTCTTTACAGCTCACTGTAAACTTCCCTTTTCCCCATTTAAAGTCGTCCTGCTCCTCACGGTCATTTGAACTCCTGCTCTTAAGCTCGTATAAGCCTAATGAGCCCGTGAAACCCACTGTGCTCTGGACTGACCCCGGGACCAGACCAGACCTGAACCCAGACCAGAACCGGACCTAAAACCAGACCGAGACCTAAACCAGACCTGGACCCAAACCAGACCAGCTCAGAACAGCCTTACTGAAACTATTTACACAGAAGATTAACAGAGAGAGGTCACAGACAATTAACACCCTCCTTTTTAAGTAATTATTTTAAATTAAGATGAGAACGGGTGATTATAAAAAATAAAATCATCATCTTAACTTTAATATAACTTAATTAAACTTTTTTTACTGGAGGGTCTGCCACCAGCTTCTCCCGAGAGATGTGATTGTTTTGCCCGGAATGTTCCACAGTATAACATTAAACGTATCAGTCCTGCATTTCCAGGTTTATTCATTGCTCCAAAATACCAACCAATGTGCATTTTTAATCTGAACAGGGTCACCTCTCCACAGATCTGATCTGTAACCTGAACAGATTGTCTCTTTGAAGATGGAAAGTTTATTGCCATACTAGGTTTGATCAGTTCTTTGAATTACCGTATTTTCCGGGCTATAGGGCGCGCTCTTAATTCACCAACCCCATCAAAAAAAATGACTGTGCGCCCCACAATCCAGAGCGACCCATACACGAATCTACTCGGGTGTCCCAGCACGACTTCAGTAAACTATAAAGCCGCACCACCCGCAGAACACACAAACACGCACGGAGCAGACAGCGACCGCACAGCCAAACACACCCACAGACACACTCATCACTCCACGCCGACGAGGAACGGAACAGAGGAACGAACCGCAAAAGCGAGTGCAATGTGCCACTTCTAGACACAACTGAACAACTGAGTCACTGCGAACACGCCGACAATCCAGCGGTCCCAGACAGCACCCTCCCTACACGCCACAGAACAAAGCCCAGAGTCAAACAAACAAAACCACTCACCCATCACACTGTTGTGTTTCATTTAAAATCCAGTGCTGTTTATTTAAAAAAAAAAAAGTAAAAAAATAGACCATTTAATGACAGTGCGCCTTATAATCCAGAGCGCCTAATAGCCCGGAAAATATGGTAATTTGATAAATTTAGGGTTTTAATAATTGAGATTTTGAAAAAATTGAGGATTATTTTGACTTGATCTTGACTTATTGGCAAAGCAGTGATATTGCACATTTATAATTTGATATCTACACAAATGTACTTTAAGGCAGTTTTCTTCAGTAGCCCTATGACATACTGAGTAATATCCCACACAAACAAATAAGATCTCTCTGGAGCGAAGCAGGTGACAGACCCTCCACCAGAAAAGGTACGTAGTGCTCCTTTAATGGTGGTTGTAATTATTGTACCTCATCCTCCTCTGCCTCCTCTCCTTCTTCAGCCTCTCGATGTCCAGTTTGGCTCGGCGAATCACGTCGCTGGTCTCTGTCTCCATGCCGACGGGGCCGGGGGTGGGGCCTGAGGGGAAGGGGGCTCGAGAGGAGAGCCGGGTCAGCTGACGACGCAGGGACTCGTTCATGGCTTCACTCTCCAAAAGCTTAGACCTGAAGAGAAGAGAGGGGACATGCATTTGTTTCATGGCTCCACTGTGTTTTGGCAGATTTTATTATGTCCTTTTATTGTGGATTTTCCCAGGTACACAATGAAAGTACGGTACAACACGTGAGTAGGCAAGATGAATGCTACTTTCACCTCAACAGTTTACATTTTACATTTTCTGAATTTGATGGATTTTCCCCTTTGAACAAAAATGCATGCTCAGTTTAATTAAATTTTTGATTACTGAGGTCCAAAGAGAAAAATCCCGCACACCGTCTTACCTGCATTGTGAGATTTATTAGGACAAACCGTGCAACGTTTCAGCACTAGGCCTTCGTCAGGCAAACAGAATGAGAGCTCAGGTGGCCATCTTAAATAGGGTGTGGCAAGCACCCAAGGGTGACAGGTCATAAAGAAACATTGTACTAAACACCATAATTCAAAAAACAAAGACAATCAACATACAGTGTGATGATAATAACGATAATGAAATATTAATCATTAATAGAAAAATCATAGAAAAATAAGAATAATATCTGGATACATATAGATATCATATATATTCATGTATATATACATGTAGATAGTATATATTCACTAGGGATGGACATTCGATTAAATTTTCTTAATCGATCGTCGAGAGAATTAACGATTGATTATCGAATAATCATTAACGTTTTTATATTAAAATGATCATCATTATTATTACTATCTGCACTACTAATCTGCATAATAAATTCAACTTTACGACATATAAACCGTAACTACTCTAGAGCCACATCAGCCTGTTTGACAAGTCTCACAGAAATGAAACTTAAAACCACATGGCTGATTTGCATAAACTAAGTGAAGAAAAAAACAGCTCTTGTGTCGCTGATGTGGTTCAATTTCTGTCAGATTAAAAGACATGACTCAGTGGAATACAGGTTAGTGTGACCATATTTGCATTTGTCAAAACCAGGACACCGTACGGGGGGAGGGAGGTGGGGCCTCGTCATCGACATTGAGTGACTCTCACCTGGCAAAACCTTTTCATGTTTTCGGTGTCCTGGTGAGCTTTTTTCCCACTGGACAGCAAAACATATGTGCTGCTTTGTACACTGTGCACATGGCCTCCCACTTGTCCCAAACGGAACGGAAAGCGTGGAATTTCTTGTACAAGTCATCGTTAATTACACATTTGTGCTATGGACAGACTCCACAGGGTTTAGTCCTGGTTTAGCCCAAAATGTGAAAACAGGAAAATACCACCAATCCATTTATTTCAACAAAGTAACTGTAATCCAATTACCACTCATTCGTAACTGTAATTGAATACAGTTACTCCTGTGTTACTCCTCAACACTGCCCATATTACACTAATTTCTGATCTATGTTTCCTCAAAAACAGCCCTGCCTGGAGTTGGTTTTTGGTTCATTCACACATGTTTAACCTACAAACCTGCACATTTAGGCTCTTTCAAACAGAAAACTCTCATGTCAGGTAATACAGGAAATGTTTTTAAACTCCACACACCTTCAAAAGAATCATCTGGATCATTTCAGTTCTAGAATTTCCAATCTCCATTAAACAAAAGGTAAAAGGAGCTTGAAAACTACCACTACATGACATCATAAGGTGGAACAGAGCATTTTGAGCTTTAGAGATGTAGACAGACTAATAAATAAAGAGTTACTCAAAGATGTGTGAATGAAACAAACAACTCCAGCTCTGAGTTTGAGGAGGGAACAACATTCTAACATGAGTCAGTTTTAGAGATGTAGATGGACTAATAACAAAATTACTGAGGTCCACTCTGCTGTTCCATCTGAAAAAGCTGTTGGGTGCACGTGTCCAAAAGATCCATGCATGTGAATAATACTGAAGTGCAATCATTTTGGGAATATGAGAATCATAGAACCAGAGTTACATTCAGAATTTTCGTTATCAAAACGACAACAAAGGTCATGTGCTTATATTAGCAGTTATCAGTTTAGTAAGTGATTTTTAAAGGAAACTATCCAGAGGTGCTTGAGCTCACCTTAGTTCTTCAACTTCTCTGATGTAGTTTTGGACCAGGGCTCCAATCTCCTCGTTCCCCTCACCTACAAGAACAAACACACTTCATCATCACACACCAACACATGACAGGAGCAGGATCAGAGTCATGTAGGTGAGGATGTGTCTCTCCCTGGACTTGGACACACACTTATAACAGTCAGGTCACCGGGTCTCACTGGACTCGGACAGTCTCACACACACAGGCTTATAATGGGAGTCAGGTCCATGTCTCTTACTGAACTTGGACACACGGACACACGGACACACACAGACACACAGACACACACGGACACACACAGTCATGCTTTATAATGACAGTCAAGTCAGTGTCTCTTATTGGACTTGGACACACGGACACACACAGACACACAGACACACACGGACACACACAGTCATGCTTTATAATGACAGTCAAGTCAGTGTCTCTTATTGGACTTGGACACATGGACACACATGGGCACACACAGGCACACACACGCTTTATAATGACAGTCAGGTCAGTGTCTCTTAATTGACACGGACACACACGGACACACACGGACACACACGGACACGCACACGCTTTATAATGACAGTCAGGTCAGTGTCTCTTACTGAATTTGGACACACGGATACACACACACGCAAACCTATAATGACAGTCAGGTCCCACATTTATAATGACAGTCAGGTCCTGGTCTCTTACTGGACTTGGACGCATGGACAAACGGACACACACGGACACACACGGACACACATGGACACACACGGACACGTTTTATAATGACAGTCGAGTCAGTGTCTCTTACTGGACTTGGATACACACACAGATTTATAATGACAGTTAGGTCCCGCTCTCTTACTGGACTTGGACACATGGACACACATGGACACACACGGACACACACGGACACACATGGACACACACGGACACGTTTTATAATGACAGTCAGGTCAGTGTCTCTTACTGAATTTGGACACACGGATACACACACACGCAAACCTATAATGACAGTCAGGTCCCACATTTATAATGACAGTCAGGTCCCGCTCTCTTACTGGACTTGGACACATGGACACACATGGACACACACGGACACACACAGACACACACGGACACGCTTTATAATGACAGTCAGGTCTGTGTCTCTTACTGGACTTGGTGAGCAGGTGGCTGACTTGGTTGGCCAGCAGGTGGCTCACTCTGCTGTTCAGATGGTCAATAGTTTCTTGCATGGCTTTGACCCTGAGCCGGAGAGTGTCATTCTCTCGCTGCAGCATGGAGTTCTCCTGGAACAGATCACTGAAGCCCTCAGAGCCGTCCTCACACGCCACACGCTTACCCTGAAAAACAAAACACAAACACACTTTATAGAACTGTAGTTTCAAAAGAGCTTTTACAGACGACAATACAGTAAACTCCAACACCTGTGGATCATTTGCACTTTAAACCTCAACTTAAACATTTAAAGAGATGTTTTAGCACATTTTTGTCAGATTGAATATTGTATTTTTTTTGTCAATATCCCCCATCTCTAGCACACGTTTTAGAATATTTCAGATGGAGGGCACGCACCAGTATTTTGAACAAAATCGCTAAACTTCAGATCCACAAATGTTGAACCTTATCATTATTTGTCTAAGACAGACTCCTCAACCTGGTCTTTTAATCTTACGTCTTAAAGTTCAACTGACAACAATCACATCTTCAGGGTTGAATAATGGCACCACTTTCTCAAGCTATTATTAAAAAATTATTTGACTTCAGTTTATTTCTCCTGATATAGAAGACGCTGAACTTTGTGCCAGTTTTTGTTTCATGAGGATAGGTTCAATAAATGGTCAACAAATCTGCAATCTGAAAGTTACAGCAAGCTTCACCTGAGGATTGTATAAAGATACTGCTTTCTCTTGATAATTCTTTCACTCTGCTAAAACATTAAAAGAGGTGTGTGCAGTTGTGTTCCTCGCCCTATCTAACCTGGATTACTCCCTGTATTGTGTTTGTGTGTGCGCGTGTTGTGGTGATCCTGGTGATTAATGCACATGAAATCCTGTTGTTGAAGCTGCGACAGACTCTCCATTCAGCAGATGAGCTACACGAGATACACACACACGCACAAGTCAGCTGTAAGTACGCCTGTCACCATAACAAAATACACAAACACAAAACAGAATTATCCCCCAAAAATGATTCTAAATGCACAATATTAATGAACTTTAATATGAACTGCAATAAATAAATAACAGAATGCAACACTTGAGTAGTTTGTGTCTGTAATGAAATTCAGAATTCAACCTTCTACAGCTCGAAGAAGAATGTTCCAGAGTCCGACATTTCACTTATGAACAACTATAAGGCCATGTTACAGGTCAGATCTGTGGAGAGGTGACCTCCCCTTTATTTTTTTCCTCAGTGTTTTAAGCAACAAAAACATCTGTAATTGAATAAATAGATACATTTCAGGCAAAACAACTAACATTTCCATAGAGACAAGATGAACGAACCCTACACCAGAAAAGTTATACAGTGCACTTTTTTTTTTTAACAATATTGTTGTATAATATGTAGTCTTTGTCTGTATTATACTTGAGTGATATACCATACTTCAAAATATCTTATCGTGGCAGGCTTAATCACAACAAATATAAACATTTACAACTGTGTTTAAGTAAAGTGATAATGTGTAACTTTCTGGGGATGGAAAGCCAGCAGCATGAATCCATGGAAACACAAAGTTAAAATGAACATTCTCCATGGAGACAGATGCATTTCATGCCATACTGTGCCATATTATGACCAAACGGACATGGAGACAAGCAGGAGGAAGAGTCAGGTTTGTGGAGATGCAAGCCCACTCACAGTAAAGACACATCCATGATAATAAAAAACAAAAAAAAAATACAAAAAAAAAACACATCCTTTCAATATCTGCCAAAAAAGTTAAATAGGGGCCTTCTTTAATTAACTGACTAACTTTTTTTTTTTCAATAACAAATAGGTGCCATGATGAAATCAAAATGAAATCAAATATGTTATGTTATATGTTACTAATATGTTGTGTTAGTTAATAGTCCATAGATCACCATGTTACCTTTTATTGTTTTGAAAATGCTATATTCACCCAGTACAATGTATTCATGTTTTTTAAATGGTTCAGTTTTGTCTTTGAGTCCCACCTCCGTTTGCTCCCCACGCTAAGTCACTCCCCCATCAGAGCGCCATCACAACACAATCAGTGTGCATCCTGCTAATGAAACTACTGCACATCACCTCAGGTTTGTCAAGTTGCTGTGTAGTTTTGTATCTTATTTTTACATATTTATTTAGAATTCTCAAAACATGACAATTGTGGGTGAGGTGTCTTGCTCAAACACACAACAACACCACACACTGGTTGAAGCTCAGATTGAAGTGCCAGCCTTTGGGCACAGCTCTAATGCTCCATCTAAAACAGAGCTTTATGCAAACTAAAGCTGTACCTGTTATCAGCCTAATTCAAGTGGATTTCAGCCTTTCAGCACTTCTTTAGTGTCAGCTCATCCACATAATGGCCGCTGCATAAATCAGCCTGTAGCCCAGAGCAGCCTGTGTACACTACAGACTATCGATCCATGTATAAAGCAGACTGCATAATGCTAACATATGCTCACAGAACGCTGAGCTAGCACGGCCTCAACTGGTCAGACAGGTCGTTCAGCTCATAAACACTGTCCTGATAATCAGGTTTAATATACGAGCAGGGCTGGCCCCTGCTACACAATGCACTGCTCTGTCTTTAGATTCAAACAGTCTACCTGCTTCAACAGTCAGGATTTCTCCATTTGCTTTACATGCTTCTCTGCAACAGCCAACATGATATCATGTTCCACAGTATGGCATTAAAATGACTATTTTACATGTATTCATTTACTGGTGTTTTAAATGATCAAGAATACCTCATAAAACATGCATTCTTCCCACAGGTTCTATGGTCTACAGTATACAGATAGAGACTTGTTCAAAGCCATACTGTGGAACATTCACAGTAGGCTAAGCAATTAAATCTCCATGGAGACAAGCAGGTAGAAGACATTCCACTGCAAAAGCATCTTCCCTCAAAAGTTTGACATTAGAGGGGATACACATCTTGTGCCATTAAATCAACTCAAATTAATGAGATACTGGGAACACAGTGTCTGAACACTTTGGGCCAAGGTTATTGTTGTTTGGCTTCTACCCAGAGAAATCCAGAGACAAAAGGTGAAACGTGTGTAGACATTTGCCTGTACTCAGTGATGAAAATGTGGAGCATAAAGCTAGAAAGAGACAAACTATGGACCAGGGGCCAAATATGGCCCTCAGACCAATTTTCATTGGCCCTCCATATTCCTGATGAATTGGACCAGGAGTTCTTTTTTGGAGAATTATGCCATCATAACTTAAAGGTGCAATGCATGACTCTTCTGGTGGGGGTCCATCACCAGCTTGAGAAAGTATTGCTTTGTCTAGAATGTTCCACAGTCTGGCATTTCACAAATGTATCTCCATGGGTACAAGCATCAGGCCATATTACAGGTCATGTTTTTTGGTTTTTTTTGTTTTTTTAGGTTTTAAGCACTTGTAATTGAATAAATATAAGATAGATAGGTTTAATGACATACTGTGGAACATTTCACCCAAAACAAATAAGATTTTAATGGAGACAGGCTGATAATAGACACCGACAACCAAAAAGTTACATAGTGCACCTTTAAATCACAAACTTTTTGATGTAATACAAACCAAACATTAATTCTCAAATGCACACAGAAAAGATTCTATGACAAATGCAATCAGAAGAAAACCCCTTTAGTTTTGTTGTAATAATGTTTCAAGTATCAGAAATGTTTTGTCAGCAGAAATTGTACTGATGTTTGGAGGGATGTCATCAATGGAACTCTCTAAACATATTTCAAGATATTTTTCAACTTTTCTTCACAAACTGCTTCTTGGTTGGTGTAAAGCTATGTTTACAACATTATTATCCCATCAAATAAAGTCCAAATACTCAAATATAAACTTTACACACTGGAGGCCTTTTATTTTGTATGTGAAGGGTTTTGAGGTATGAGGAACTGTGTGGTGGGATTCCTTTAATATATATATTTTTTTCTTGTGCGTTCATGTTTAAGTGTGAAAAATGTCTATAATAAAAGTGTGGTCTTACAGCCTTGTACTCTAGTATCTCCATCTGCAGTCGTGCCACCTCTGCCCGCAGAGCGCTGATCTGCTGACTCGTCTTGTCCTGGTTCACCATCACTTTGTTTTTGATGTTTCTGGCTCGGTTTGCGTATTTCAGAGTGTTCAGAGTCTCCATGAAGTCTCTGTCTGAAGGACTCACACACGCGATCATCACAGTACGACTGAAGAGGAAAAAGTCACAATGAGAACACAACTAAACAACAATCACATCTGACCTGTCCTCTGTCTCCCAACGCTAAAACAATCATTTCATAAACCGCCCGATGAGGTTCATTTGGTCTTCCGAAAATGTATGTTATTAGGTTATTTTTTCAGACCAAGGGTTTGTTTTTCATACCTGACAGTTTCAACTGCTCACTAGCAGTCACTGAGGAAGAGCGCTAGTGAGCAGCCGAAACTGTCAGCTATGAAAAACAAACCCTTGGTCTGAAAGAAGAACCTAATAACATAAATTTAATAAACCATGAATAAATAAAAGAACTTCAAAATAAAACAGACATAATATATTTCAACCCCAGTATCTAGAATACATTTAGACTAGAATAAAAACACGTTGTTGTTTTTTTCATTATAGATGTTTTTATTGCACTGAAAAGCACTGTGTACTGTGAGCGGGCTTGCATCTTCACACACCTGACTCTCAGTTGGCCTGGAGGAGGGCCTCCTGCTTGGTACCATGGAAATATTTTTCTTTGGGCTGTAATATTCCAGAGTACGGCATAAAATGTATTAATCCCCATGAAAAATGTCCCAAAGTGTGTTCTTAACTTTCCATGGAATCATGCATTTAACCCTCCACCACCCCCAGAAAGTTACACACTGTCACTTTAATTATGCTCAAAGTTTCAGAATTTGGAATATTCTCTCTTCTTCTCTTCAAATGGGACAAATCTTTATCAACCATCATTTTTAAATCATTATTCACTAGCTAGGACCATGCCAACAACGACATAGTGCGAAGTAGTTTATTGATAATGTACAAAGCGAGGCAAAGATGGCTGGGTTGAGACTATGGGTGGGGGCTCCGTCTCAATCTACAATTGGCCCAGCCGGAACGGGACCCCCCCTTGTAGGGGTCTTATGACTGAAAGACAAAATAGGGGATGGGAGGGTGGGTTCGAGTTAGCCAAGACAAACTGGGATGATGGGAAAGGCTGCTACATATGGGCTTCTGGGAAATTCGAGGCGTGGTCGAGGTGAGTTGTGGTTCGCTTGTGAGAGGAGAGGGCGGCTGAGGCGTGGTCCTGCTCCTGAATCTCACTTAATCGTATTAACTACATTTAAATCATAACAGATTTTCATTCTAGTGTTACTGTAATAATCAAATCAACAATAGTTTGTTTGTGCAGTTTGTGTATCGTCCCTGTGTTGCTGTTGCAGACATGGAGGTTGTGTGTTTGATTCCTGACCTGTTTCCTCCCAGTGAGTCCTGCAGGAGTCGAGTGAGTTTGGAGTCTCTGTAGGGCACATGCGCCGCCTTCTTGGTCTGATCTCCCAAAGCACTGATCACATTTCCCAGAGCCAGCTGCAGCACAAATACAAACAACACAGTTTTTATACTTACTATTTTAAACGTGTATTATAAGAACTCATTGAAATGTGTCTCAGTTAATTATGTCATTTTAAAGGTGCACTATGTAACTTTTGTGGTGAGTGGCCAGCTGCCTGTTTGTCACCAAGGACATAGACTTATTTTATTTAATAATTATAACATTGTGGTACTAAACATATCTATCTTTTTAGATTTTAGTCTGTGTTTTTTATTGCAAATATATCCATTCTATTCTCCAATATATTATATCCAGGCTTTCAATTTCACCGATGCCATAGCAAGCAACTATATAGATAAGTAAGTAGAGATATCCCAATCACATTTTTTTGCCCCCGTGTCCTAGTCCAAGTCATTTGTTTTTGAGTATCTGCCGATACCGAGTCCCGATCCAATACTTCTTTAAAACATTATAAAATGAACTAAGAGCAAAGAATAAAAGCCAGGATGTATGGGGGGGATCTGATTGTGTTGATTTCAGTGTGTAGTATTTGGGCTGAACTTAGTGTGAAAAATCATATGTTTAAAACTTAAATTTTATTAACTTTTCTAACCATTCATCACCATTGAAAATCTGGACTTTTCACAGTTTGGTCTTGGAATGTTTAACTTCGTAAACTTAATGAACTGGACAAAACAGGAACCAGACCAGAATCAGATCAGACCTGAGACTAGACTGCACAATCTACACTTTGTATATTTGATATTATATGTTTGCATGTGAATTACATTTTAAACATTTAGGCCAGTCTGATAACCAAATAATACAAAATCTTACCAAATAAAAACGAGATGACAGAAGCTTCACAGCTTCTCTCCCCCGCACCACCACCACATCCACAAACCCACAGCGGAGCACGCACCGCAACATCGGTCCCACGGCTCAATAAACACTCCACACCATTGTTCCCACCCTCTCCACCAAAAGCACCAGTTCCACTGCGCATCATGCAAACAAACAGCCCCATGCGACAACACCATCGGCCGTGCAGGTGTGAACATGGACCACAGAACCACAGGTAACAGCGCCTGAGCACGGCACGGCCCAAAAGTCCCAGTGTAAGTGAGTCTCTAGTAGAACAGGTGCTGGGACAGACAGTGGTGCTAAGTGGACGACTTTGAACAAATCCCACGCCTCAGTAAAAAAAAACAAAAAAACAGTTGTGTCCAGTGTGTTATATATGTATATTATTTATCCAATACTTGATCGGCACATAACGTCCGAATCCGGATCGAGTCCACAGTCACGTGATCGGTGCCGATTTCCGATCACGTGATCGGAGGACAACCTTATAAATAAGTTTAATACCATATTGTGGAACATTCCATGCAAAGCAATAACATGTCAGTGGAAACAAGAAGGTTCCCGAACTCTTCACCAGAAAAGTTACATAAAGCACCTTTAATAGATAATGACAGACAGTGAGGTTGTGTTGTGTTTTAAAAATGACTAAACATGAGGCGGTGAACAGACCAGTCCACAGTTGATGCTGATGCCCTCCCTGGCCCGCTCTCCTGTGGCTCCAGTTCTCTTCAGTCTCTCTGATCCAGCCAAGTCCACAAAGTGAAACTTGGCCATCAGTGTCTCATACTCGGGCTGAGAAAGAGACGAGTCCACACCGTTCACCTCTAAGCTCTCCTCTCCTCCGTTCTGTTCACAAGGAAACATGAAAGACACATTAAGTACGAGAGAGAGAGAGAGAGGAAGAGAGAGAAAGAAAGAGAAAGAAAGGGGGGACTGACTGATCAAGACCTGGCAACCAATCTGCACTGCATCAATTAGAATGATTGTAGATTTGATAGATTTGATTGTACAGTATTCAGAGTACTACACAGTATTGATATTGCAGTATTTCTTACCTGTTGTGTGGTGCATATCCTCATCTGGCACAGGTGTATGGTGAAGATGGCGTGGGAACGTGAGCTCTGAGCGTTCATCTGAGTACTGGCCGTGGTCCGAGACAGAGCGCCCAACTTCAGACACTGCAACAGCTGGAGCCCACACAAAAAAACACACACAAGAGTCACACACAAGAAACACACACAAGAAACACACACGAGAAACACACACGAGAAACACACACGAGAAACACACACGAGAAACACACACGAGAATCACACACGAGAATCACACACAAGAAACACACACAAGAAACGTGAACCTATGGACCCAGTGCAGAGATCTGTGTGATTACATACATACTTATTGTGCACTGTACATAATGTATACAACTGAGGTACTTAAGCACACACAATCTTGGTTTATAGAGAGGCTCCACCTCACTGACTTGATCTGACCTGTAGCTTGGACTAGTGGTCTTACTTCCACCAGCAAAACTAGAAAGTATGTCCTCTGAGTGCACCAGCCTGCAGGTGACCCTGGTTCAGTCCTCGCTCAGTCCTCACTCAGTCCTGCTTTAGACTTGTTGTAGTCCTGGTTAAGTCCTGGTTCAGCCTCACCTCCTCCTCTGAGTGCACCAGTCTGGAGGTGACCCCTGTGGTGTAGATGCTTCCGTTCCCGTCTTCATGGATCTTGATGTTGGACTTCCGGCTCCTGGACTCCAGGTCTCTGGTTCCATCAAACAGGTCCAGGATCTCCTCATTGTACAACTGCAAAATATCACAGAAAATGTCTGATTATTTGGGATCAATGGACTAAAATCCTGATTTAGTCCTTTAGTCCTCGACCCATGACTCTCCTATTATCTACTGTAGTTCAAGTCCATGATGCTCAGAATGCATAAGGCATAAGTGAGGAATAACTTTGGACCACTGCAACTGATCAAAATGTATGAATGATGAACTATTTGAAAAGTACTATTTTATCCGTCTTTGGAGAGTTTGTGTAAATGAGTGTGTCGGCTCACTCTGTCCCACACACCTGTACTCAAATAGGATTAGAGTAATGAGGTTACATAAGGGCCCCTCAGATAAGGCTCTGCTCTGGCCCCAAACACACGCTTCATTAGTCTGGATAATTCAGTTACCCCCACATGAACGCCCCCTCCTCTAATCATCACTTTAACGTGCACTGCAAAAATATACAGACGTTTGTTCAGTTCAGTTTAAATATGAATCATCGTTTCAGTGAAGATCTTTCAAATGCTCTTGGAAAAATCCAAATGTGAAATGGAGAAAACTGGAGGCAAAGGGAAGTGGGCCATAACCACAACACGTTTAATGAGTTTAGTTTTTATTTTAGTTCATAGATGGGCTAGAAGTTCATTTATTTCTATATTTAAAAATCTTAAAAAAGTGTAACAAACAGAAGCAAATATGGTTATGTGTAATACATTTGTTCATATAAAAACTAAAAAGTAGAAGTGCTGCTCTGCATCTGCATTTCGGCACTTAAATAGTCTTAACATGGGTGGCACCAGTGGTCAGTTCTCTCACATAAGAGCAAGAAGGTTGTGGGTTTGACTCCCAGGTCATTCTGGATGGATTTCTCCAACATCAGGTTGAAAAAATACAAGCTCGTACACCAGCTCCTCTCTCTCCTTCCCCCATCACTCTCCATCGTCATCCCCCTTCTCCCTCCCCCTCTCTCTTTCTCCATCACCCTCTCTTCCCCGCTCTCTGTCTCTCTCTCTCCCCCCTCCGCCTTGCTCCCCCTCTCTGTCTCTTTTCCTCCCCTCTCCCTCCTTCTCTCCCACTCTCTCCCCCTCTCTCCCCCTCACGCAACCGTTCTCTCTCCCTCTTGTCCTCTCTCTCTGTCTCTTTCTACCTCTCTCTCTCTGCCTCTCTACACCTCCTCTCTCTCTCTCTCACCCAACCCCCCTGTCTTTTTCTCCCCTCTCCCCCGCTCTCCTTCTCTCTAACCCTCTCTCCTCCCCCTTTCTCTAACTCTCTCTCTCTAAACGCTATCTCTCTCTCTCTCTCCCTTTAACTCTCTCTCTCTAACTCTCTCTCTCTCTCTCTCTCTCTCTCTAACTCTCTCTCTCTCTCTCTCTCTCTAAACTCTCTCTCTCTCTAACTCTCTCTCTCTCTCTCTCTCTCTCTAACTCTCTCTCTCTAACTCTCTCTCTCTCTCTCTCTCTCTCTCTCTAACTCTCTCTCTCTAACTCTCTCTCTCTAACTCTCTCTCTCTCTCTCTCTCTCTCTAACTCTCTCTCTCTCTCTCTCTCTCTCTAACTCTCTCTCTAACTCTCTCTCTCTCTCTCTCTAACTCTCTCTCTCTAACTCTCTCTCTCTCTCTCTCTCTAACTCTCTCTCTCTCTCTCTCTAACTCTCTCTCTCTCTCTAACTCTCTCTCTCTCTCTCTCTCTCTAACTCTCTCTCTCTCTAACTCTCTCTCTCTAACTCTCTCTCTCTAACTCTCTCTCTCTCTCTCTCTCTCTAACTCTCTCTCTCTGTAACTCTCTCTCTGTCTCTCTCTCTCTAACTCTCTCTCTCTAACTCTCTCTCTCTCTCTCAACTCTCTCTCTCTCTCTCTAACTCTCTCTCTCTCTCTCGTAACTCTCTCTCTCTAACTCTCTCTCTCTCTCTCTCTCTAACTCTCTCTCTAACTCTCTCTCTAACTCTCTCTCTCTAACTCTCTCTCTCTGTAACTCTCTCTCTAACTCTCTCTCTCTCTCTCTCTCTAACTCTCTCTCTCTCTCTCTCTCTCTGTAACTCTCTCTCTAACTCTCTCTCTCTAACTCTCTCTCTCTCTCTCTCTCTAACTCTCTCTCTCTCTCTCTCTAACTCTCTCTCTCTCTCTCTCTCTAACTCTCTCTCTCTCTCTCTCTCTCTCTCTGTAACTCTCTCTCTCTGTAACTCTCTCTCTCTCAACTCTCTCTCTCTAACTCTCTCTCTCTCTCTCTCTCTCTCTCTCTTAACTCTCTCTCTCTGTAACTCTCTCTCTCTCTAACTCTCTCTCTCTCTCTCTGTAACTCTCTCTCTCTGTAACTCTCTCTCTCTAACTCTCTCTCTCTCTCTCTAACTCTCTCTCTCTCTCTCTCTCTCTAACTCTCTCTCTCTCTCTCTCTCTAACTCTCTCTCTCTGTAACTCTCTCTCTGTAACTCTCTCTCTAACTCTCTCTCTCTAACTCTCTCTCTCTCTCTCTCTCTGTAACTCTCTCTCTCTGTAACTCTCTCTCTAACTCTCTCTCTCTAACTCTCTCTCTCTCTCTCTCTCTCTCTCTAACTCTCTCTCTCTCTCTCTCTAACTCTCTCTCTCTCTAACTCTCTCTCTCTGTAACTCTCTCTCTAACTCTCTCTCTCTCTAAACTCTCTCTCTCTCTCTCTCTGTAACTCTCTCTCTCTGTAACTCTCTCTCTCTCTCTCTCTCTAACTCTCTCTCTCTCTCTCTCTCTCTCTCTCTAACTCTCTCTCTCTCTCTCTCTCTCTAACTCTCTCTCTCTCTGTAACTCTCTCTCTCTCTAACTCTCTCTCTCTAACTCTCTCTCTCTCTAACTCTCTCTCTGCTCTCTCTCTAACTCTCTCTCTCTCTGTAACTCTCTCTCTCTAACTCTCTCTCTCTGTAACTCTCTCTCTCTGTAACTCTCTCTCTCTCTCTCTCTCTCTGTCTCTCTCTCTCTAACTCTCTCTCTCTGTAACTCTCTCTCTCTCTCTCTCTCTCTCTCTAACTCTCTCTCTCTAACTCTCTCTCTCTCTCTCTAACTCTCTCTCTCTCTCTCTCTCTCTAACTCTCTCTCTCTCTCTAACTCTCTCTCTCTAACTCTCTCTCTCTAACCCCCGTCTCTCTTTCTCCCCTCTCCCCTTCTCTGTAACCCTCTCTCCCCCTCTGTCCTTCCCCCTCTCTCTCTCTATCTCTCTATCTCTGCCTTTCTCTCTCTGTCTCTCTGTCTCTCTCTCTTTCTCCGTGCACAGATTGAGTTGTTCAGATTTGGAGTGACACAGTCCAGTCTCGTCTTATCACAGACGTCTCCCTGTGTGGGGGGATCTGAATGATAAAAACTTTCCATGTTTTTCTCATTTGAAGCTGTTCTTTTCTTTCCCTCTTCTTCTGTTTCGTGTTTTAGTTTCGTTCTGAATACTTTGGTCTTATCCAGTTCTGCAGTAGAGCTGAAACAGAACTTAATGTTTTACCTCTAAGAACTGCGCGGAGACCTTAAACTCAGGCGGTGGTACTCCTGTCTCCTGCGCCGTCTCCCGTCTGGCTTGGATGCCCTGGAACAGCTGGTGCACGGCCCGTGGGATGATGCCCTTCTCTGGGGGACTGAGGCTCACGTCGAACCCAGTGCCCATCGTGTACGTCTTTCCTGAACCCGTCTACAACAGAGAGCACGAACTGTTTACAATCCTTCATCGTACTGTAGTTAGAAGATCTGACCACAGGACTGCCAGTATTTGTTTTAGTCGAGTAATGATTTTATTTCAATTATGATGATTTAAATGGCACAACGGCAGAAAGGTGACGTTGTTTAGTGAGTGCATCAGCTGAAGATCAGTTATTTAGGAGTAAAAAGTCTGATTAAACTCAGATGCACAAGTTGAATTTGTCTTTTCAATACATGGTTTACTAGTATTTTATTTATTTATTTTTTTTCAGAAGTAGTTGTTTTTGCGTGTGCTCCAGTCTGTGTACCATCTGTCCATTCATTTTTCAAAATAAAACCAAAAATAAGAACATGAAAAAACTGCTATTTTGTTCATTATTTGTTTCTTCATTATTTCCAGACCGGGACGGAACCAGGATTAAAATAGGACTAAACCAGGACTAAAACAGGACTAAAACAGGACTAAAACAGGACTAAATCAGGACGAAATCAGGACTAAACCAAAACTGAACCAGGACTAATCCAGGTCTAAAACAGGACTAAACCAGGTCTAAACTAGGACTAAACCGGTCTTGTCCTGGTCTCAGTCCTGATCTGGTCCAAGTCTCAGTCCTAAACCAGGACTAAACCAGGACTGAACCAGGAGTGTCAGAATGGTGCACCCACATAGACTGTCAGGTGATCAAGACTGAGACCGGGACCAGATCACAACCAGACCGGGACCAGACCAGGACTCAGACCGGGACCAGACTGGGACCAGACCGGGACTGGGACAGGACTAAGACAAGGACCGAGACCAGGACTGATCCTGGTTCAGTCCTGGTTCAGTCCTGGTCCCATCCTGGTTCAGTTCGTCATCACAGTTTAAGTCAAGGAAACATGAAACGGCCGTTATCCGTTTTTTCCCTTATTCATTTAAACACAAAATCAAAAACTGAAAAATATTAATCGTTATCCACTTTTTCACTTTGGTTTTGGAGACAATTATGAAGAGTAATAGTTGTTTTTTTTCTTTGTTTTCTTACTTTTGGTTTTATTTTGAAAAATGAATGAACGAATGACACTCGGACGTGCTCCCCCTGCAGGTGTAATCTTGTGAGTGCATTTTGGGTCAGAGACACAGAGGCGTGTAACAGTTTGTAGAGTGAGTAGGAGCGTATAGTCTAGTCCTCACCTGTCCGTAGGCGAAGACAGTGGCGTTGTATCCGTCGAAGCAGCCCTCGATGAGCCTGTGCACGCAGCTGTCATACACCTGCACCTGCTCCGAGTCCAGGTCGAACACAAAGTCAAAGGTGAAGGCTTTGTCTTTACCCAGAAGCACCTGGGGCTCTCCGGGGGTCACCAGTGTGCACACATGACAGCCCTCCAGCTTCTCTTTGGCCATCTGAGGACGGATCCTAAACACAGAAACAGGGACAGAGTCACGCAGGGTTTTCCTTTCAAATCACAGTTGAATCTTAGCAAAAGTCTAGAATATGCCTCGCTGTGGCTCTCATTATTATTACTGACTCAGTTTCTTGTGAGTCCTAAAATGAGCAGCTCTCATTCAGGAGCTCACTGAAGGAGAAAGGTTGGAGACCCGTGTTTTAGTGTAGTGTTGTAGTCAAGAGTACACTAATCGAGACCAAGGCCTGTTCGACACCACAGGGTCCCGAGACCGAGACAAGACCAAGACCTCTGAGGGTCGAAGACTGAGAGAAGACAGAGACCATGGCCCATCAAGACCAGACATAGACTATGTTTGTAATTTTCGGCATTTATTTGTATTTTACAGTTATTTTAGCACAAATGTATCAATGTTTTTTATAAATTTCTCACTTGTCAAGCATCAGACCTCGAGACAGAGACATGATCAAGTCCAAACGCCATCAAGACCGAGACAAGACAAAGTCCAAACACCTTCAAGACCGAGACAAGACCGAGACCAAAGGCATTCAAGACCGAGACAAGACCAAGTCCAAATGCGCCAGAGCCCGAGACGAGACCAAGTCCAAACGCCTTCAAGACCAAGACAAGACCGAGTCCAAATGCCAAACAAGACTGAGCCCAAACGCTCTCAAGACCAAGACAAGACTGAGTCCAAACGCAGTCGAGTCCGAGACGATACCAAGACCAAGTCTCGAAGCCTTTCTCAAGACCCAGACCGGTCTCAAATACTACAACACTACTTTAGTGCAACTAGCACTGCCATATCATAAACTATTCTGATTTAAAAGGTGTTAAATAACATTACACTGGGAAAAAAAATATATGTAGCTAAGTAAAAATGACTTAAATTAAGAACATTTGACTTTATTTTGATAGATTCAACTTGCCAAGTCAAATGGAATAAGTGTGCTTTTCTTAATTCAAGCAACATTCAATTTAGTTTCTTATTTTAAGTGCAAAAAGTTGTTTTTCTCATCTTAAGTACAGCAAGATTTTATTATATTTTCTTTAAGTACAAAATGCCTTGTTCCACTGACACATACTTTTACTTTTTATGTGAAATTTACTCAAATCATGATCAAACGGTCTTAATTCAAGTCATATTAACTTGACTAGATTTAGTTTTTTGCAGTGAAAGAAATGTCATGAAATACACTAATAAAGATATTGCTTTTTTCCACTGATCATGTTGTCTGAAACAGAGCAGAGCATTGTATTTGAAATTGCAAAATGCTTATCACAGCATTACAAATGATGCTTTACTTCATTATTTATGACTTTGAAACACATTCCTTGGAGCTGTAAATACTAACTTCCCATTCGCAGCTCATAAAACAAGAATTCCTTCCTTAAAATCCATTTACTTTGCCAGCAACATTTGCATGCACTGAGCTACAGGACGAAGCTGAGGGATTGTCAAAGTCAGTGTGAAAGTGAAAAACTCCAAACTCTAAACTCCAGCCCCGAGGAGTAAAAACACGACAACAACACGTCTTTGTAACAGGAGATGTGCACGATTGGAGAAACAAAGCGGAAACTGTTCATCTTTTTATAGAAAATGTACAGATTCAGAGCGAGTTATGAGAGAAGTGTCCAGGTTCAGAGTGAGTTATGAGAGAAATGAGATGTTAGTGCAGAGGCAAAGGTTAATCCTGGATAAGACCGAAGTGATTTCTTAAAGTGGCAGGTGAGTTCATTAAAGCTCATTAGTTTCTTTACATTAGACAGGCGCAGACAGGAAATACTTTGAAGTGAGACAAAATGGATTAGGAGCGATTTTAAACACATTTGGCAAAACATGAGAAAGATCTAAAAATGTCACCAAGAAAAAAAAAAGTGGAGATTTAAAACATTTCCACACGAGTTGGACGGAACTGGTGAAGGAAAGCGGCAGGTGTGTGAAGGAAGAATCAAAGCGGCAGGTGCAGGACTGGATTCAGAACTTTCAGGGCTTAATCCCATTCAAAAGATATACAGTTTTAAATGGTGAATCGCCAATTTCAAGGGTGCAGTGAGAACAGTGGGGCATGTGTGAGTGTATTAAAAGAGCGTGCGTGTGGACACTGTGGATATAATCACTTAAAGCTGCGGACAAAACCATGAGTGAGCAGTTTATGAGCGGTTTACACATCACCACATGAGACCCCCCTTCCCCCCGTCCCTCCCTCCAGTCCTCTCCCTCCATGTTTAATCAGAGGGGGGTGACCACAAATGTAACCCCCCTCCTCCTCCTCCCCACTGACTCTTCCTCCTCTCCTCCTCATCCTCCTGCTTTTCTCCCTCCCTCCATGTTTAATCAGAGGGGGGTGACCATAAATGCCCCACTCCCCCCCACTCAGACGCACATACACACACAAAAACACACACACACGCGCACAGTGTGAGTCCGCTGGGCCTGGTACAGCAGAGACAGGCAGATTTACAGGAGTGAGTCAGACACATGTTAAATGGAGCCAGCAGAGAACAGGAGTGTTTAAATGGAACAAACACAAGAGACTCAAGCTGCTGCTCAGGGCAAAGATGTAAAGTTGTACTCTGGAACTTTCCTCATGAAGAGCCACCAATAACAATTCATGGTTTTTTAATGTATCTTGGAGCTACACCCATGAAAAATGCTTAATAGAAGCTGGAACATTACAGACAAAGCAATCAGATCTCCAGGAGCCTGACCTGTCTCCCAGCAGACGGTCGTGTGGCACAGAGTTCGGGGCAGGGGTGGGCAATTTATTATTATTTTTTTCCATGGGGCCACATGAGAAACAGAAAATATTGTGGAGGGTCGGGCCAAAATGCTGAACTCAATTCTGCAGAATATGAATTGTACGCACACGTCTTCATTTACATATTGTGTCATTTTGTAAGTGAATAAAAAAATTTAAATAAAAGCAATGCAGCTTTAGTCCATGCATGAGGTAAAATTATAAAATATGTTTATTTTGTAATTCTAAATGAGTTTTAATGGGCCGGTCAGAATTGACCAAAGGGCCGTATGTGGCCTGGGAGCTGGACAATGCTCAGGTCTGAGTTGGGGAGAGGCAGAACATATATGACCAACAAGCCTCACACCTGTAGTGTGCTTTACAGACTGTCCAAGCCCCTCAAAACACTTCACTGTGTCATTCACTCACTCCACACAGCTGCCCTGGGGCAGATTGATGGAAGCGATGCTGCCAATCTGCACCATCAGTCCCTAACATTATCATCAATCATTCACACACACACCACAGGGCAGCAGTAGGTGAGCTGCTAGAGCGTTTTCCACCATTTACCAATTACCACTTTGATACTAGGCAAGGTGGATAAAGTGCCTTGCCTAAAGACACAACAACAGAACGAGCGGAAATCCGAATTGTGGGTTGGAGGACCACTGCTCTAACTGTCTAGTGTTGCCCTTTGAATCTGAGTGTCACAACTAAAAAGTCTGAATTTCTGATCAAATAGACTGAAGTACCATATTTTCCGGGCTATTAGAGGCACTCTTAAGCCTCCAACCGCATCAAAAATCCCCTCGGGTGTCCCAGCACGACTTCAGTAAACTATAAAGCCACACCACCCACAGAACACACAAACACACACAGAGCAGACAGCGACCGCACAGCCAAAAACATCCACAGACACACTCATCACTCCACGCCGACGAGGAACGGAATGGAGGAACGAACCGAAAAAGCGAGTGCAATGTGCCACTTCTAGACACAACTGAACAACTGAGTCACTGCGAACACGACAACATTATCCAGCGATCCCAGACAGCACCCTCCCTACACGCCACAACTGAACAAAGCCCAGAGTCACCGTGAACACGACAAACAAACAAAACCACTGACCCATCACACTGTTGTGTTTCATTTAAAGTTCGATGCAGTTTATTTGTGAAAAAAAGTTCGAAAAGAGACCATTAAATGACGTCTTATGCGTCTTATAATCCAGAACGACTAATAGTGCGGAAAATACGGTATGTCCTTCTACATCCATCATCTCATCTTCAGACTCAGTCCTGAGGAGCACATGAACACAGCAATAATAGTGTTTCTGTAATTCCACTCTTCAAATCTAAGCTCTTCAGTCTAAACTCTACTCATATTTCTCAAACCATGTCTTCAGTTAAGTTCTTTATATTCTGTTCATGTTCTTAATGTATTTGATATCAAAACACATCACAATTTGAAAAAGCGTCATGTGTGCACTTTTCTAAAAGCTTTCCACAGTCTCCCTCCCTCCCGCCCCCTCTCAGGACAGGGTGGTGCTGCTGGTGTTTGCTGAACACATGGCTGTTCACATTTCCATATTGTACATGGTGAGTTATAATTGGAGCGTCGCCTTCATTTACATGTGAGTGTTTTGCCTTTTACCACAGAAATAACACTGTTCTATCTGCTCAGAACACATGCTTCCACTTCCTCCAACCTCTGCTCCACCCAAAGACCCAAACCCTCTCCCTCTCTTTCATTCTCTCCCTCTTTCTCCCCCACACGTTGCACAGTCTTTAAATTGCACACTACACACTACAGACTATAGACACACAAAATGGCAATAAAATCATCTCTAACTGAATAAATGCAGGACAGATCAGATTAATGCCACACTGTGAAGCATTCCAGGCAAAACTAGATCAACTTTAGACCAGGACAAACAACTGAGAAGCACTTTGAGTTAAATCTTAAAGTGTGAAAGAGATTTATAAATGGATTGACTGAATTCTGTTTGAGTCTGAATTTCAGTTTGAGGTCTTTTTCTCATCCAAAGCTATAATCATTTGTGTTTAATGGTTAGTTGTCATGGCAGCAGACCTAGATTCTCATCATTTTGAAACCCATGGACATTTGAATTATCATTTATTAATGAATCATTAATAGTTTTTATCTTACAGGTCCTATATTATGCAAATCGACTCCTGTGAGTGTTAAGTCATGATAGAATGTACAGACCTCCTCAAAACACACCTGGACTTGTGTTTTGTTTCATTCAG